CGTGATCCCGTTACTGGTCAGTAAAAAAAAAAAGACAAAAAAGGAAAAAAAAAAAAAAGATTATTTTGCTGAATATTTTGAAAAACAGCATTATATAGCTAAAATATGATTATAAACACTGCTGGGTTCAGCCATAATCACTGCCATGAACTGACTTCATAGTCTTAGCCTAGTTATTTAACCTCTTAAGCCTCAGTTTCCTCATCTGTAAAATAGAAATAACAATATTTATTTCAAATTCAAGATAATATGTCAACAGAGTGCTTAGCCAAATAGTACAAGAGAAGTCATATGGTATTGAGTAATAGGTGATATCTGTTGTTATTGCTATTATTAATATTGTTTTGTATTTAGGATCCTAATATACTCATGGGTATGTATAAAACTAGGGAGCATCTAATATACTATTATAGTTCTTATAATTTATTATTATTGATTACAATAATTAAAAAAAGAGCTCAGTAGTTCTATACATTAGTGCAGTGGTTATACTTCAGGGATCCATTTGGTTTTGGTCACAAGTGATGAAGTTGTCGACCTCCGCCCAGTCTCTGATTAGTAGCAGTCTATATCATAAACCTAGTGTGCTTTTTCAGTAAGGCACTTGGAGCTGAGCAATTGGAATGAAGTGGTAGGATGCTGGGGTTAGAGATAATGTGCAAAGGTACAGCTGATCTCATTTGCCCTTGTGGGAGGATGCTAGGCTAGTATTTTCTGATGGGTTCTGTTTTGCTGTATAATCTTTAGATGAGTGAAGGAATTTTGGCAGAGAAGGAAGGTTAAATTTCTTATCCCAGAGCAGGCAGGCTCTTTAGACTTATGATAGACCTATCAGTTACTATTTTGTTCAGTTGCCATCAATCAAACAGCTAATCCCTGGATACAAGAGACTTGATAAGATGGATTCTTATATCTCTCTGATAAAAGAATCCGAGACAGGTAGACAAGGGGTCATGTAGTGTCTCTTGGGGGCATCATCAGGGGTTCAGGCCCATATCTTCTTGCTCTGCCATTATCAGCACTGGCTTCTATCCTCAAGGTTGGTCACCTGGTAGTCTGAGATACCTGCTGGAGCTTTAGCTATAAAATCTACATTCCAGGTGGCAGAAGGTAATCCCCCACTTTTAAGGATTCTTTGCATAAATACCACATACTTCTGTTGCATGATGCTGACCAGAACGTAGCCATGTGGGCACATCTAATAAGGGAGACTGGGAAATATAATCTTTATTCCAGGTAGGATTGTACCTGGCTAAGAAACCAGGTTCTCTTAGAATGGAAGAAGGGAGAAATGGGTAGTTTTAGGCAACTAGCAATCACTGCCTTACAAGTAAATACATACAGAAGTATGGGTGGATTTAAATTGCTCTACCACAGTAAGGATGACTGCAGCACACACAGGAAACCTGGGATTCTTAATCTCTGATTATTTTCCATCAGTAGAAGTAGTTTTTGCATTTTGGAGTTTCATTGACCACCTGTGCAGATAGAGGGTGGAAATACCTTTTTGGAGAATTGCTCAGAGTTGAAATTGAAGGTTTCTCTAAGCAGGGCTTATGCCAGGTATGGTAAAATAAAGTCAGTATTTTATTCAAGCATCAGATTATTCTATTATTTCCTCCCCTCTCTTTTAAAGCTTTTTAGGTAGGAAGGCCTTGATAATGTCCACTTCCAGTTTTGTAAGACAGCTTTTATCTGTCTTGTGCTCTAAAAATAGAATAATCTAGTTGAGTCCTGAAGCTTACGATTTTTCCTGTGGTTCAAATTTTGCTGTTTTATCTAAAGTTCTGGTATTCTATTTTATAAGTCATGGAAAAGAAAAGAAAGCTAAGAAATCTGCAGCATTCATGAGTAACATGAAAAATAGTAAACCAGACGATTTTTCCTGTGGTTCAAATTTTGCTGTTTTATCTAAAGTTCTGGTATTCTATTTTATAAGTCATGGGAAAGAAAAGAAAGCTAAGAAATCTGCAGCATTCATGAGTAACATGAAAAATAGTAAACCAGAAGGCAGACTTCTTCCCAGTGTCTTTAGCATTAATATGGGTCTCTTAAGTCCTCCTAGAGCACTCTGGACTTTTGCTGTTTTGGACTATTGCTGGACTACTGCTTTAAGGAACTCTGAAAAGGAAAGGGAGGCATTGGTGGGAGGTTGGTGGGAAATCGAGGGAGTTGATATTTTTAAAACTGATGAAATGCTTGCCAGTTCTATTTACAGAAGATGGCAGTTCTGCCGTTTATAGGATGTTGGATCATTTTTATTTAAAATAATTACAAATCACCTTTAACGCACTTAAAATACTGCTCTTAATTTAGAACATTAAAAAAGACTGTAGAAAAGCATGAATACCTATAAACAAAAAGAATCTGGTGAGCACAAATCATTTCCCCAGAGGTGACCTAAATCTCAACATCTGTCCCAAGCACACCCCCAACCTTGCTCAGCAGTTGTGTTCTCTGACCTTCTTTAGCCATAACCACTTCTAGCATTTAAAATATGCAATGAACCACATCAGAACTTGGCAAACCTCTGTAGGAAAGGTTGAACAAAGAAAAACAGCCATGACCCACTTGGATAGGTCTGGAAGAAGGATTTTTTTTTCTTTTTTCCTGTGAGAAGAAGTGGTAGCAGGACTGATTGCTCTTGAGGTTGTTGGAATAATTATTGAGCTAAATAATGTTCAAGAGCTGTGGTTCTGGGGACTATACTCTAAAGAATATATTGAAATCTTTAAGAGGCTGATTGATGTACATCGCTTACTTTTATTTATTCCAAAAGGGCTTTTTGTCACTGTCTTTTGCAATTCCATTAAGCCCTCTGTGAAATAGGATGGCAGATATTTTTATTGGGTTAAGCTGGTTTCATAGTGATGTTGGCAGATGTGGATATGAGTGCCTATATAGAATGCTCAAAATTTTGTTAGGAATCTGTCGACATGTTTTCCCCAAATCCCTTATATCCATTGTGTTTTTGTGAATTCTCCTGTTAGAGTTAAATT